AAAAAAAAAAAAAATTACAATTAATCGAAAATTATGGTTCAATGACACTTTATCTAAATTACTGAATCTATTTTTAAAAAAAAATTTAATGTTTTTTTTTTATGTTTTTTTTATTTATTAAATTTTCCATAAGGGGTTTATTTTGTTGAATTTTTTATATAACGTTTTTTTTTACTTTAAAAATTTCCAAAGTGGGTTTTAATTGTTGAATTTTTTTATTTAAAAATCTTTAAAGATTTTTCAAACAATTCCCATAATATAGCTAAACAATATATATGGATATAATGTTAGTTAAAATAAAGATAAGTTATACTTACCTGATCTTATTTCAAAACATGATCATTTAAACAGGTGTTTTGAAAGACATAGGTTATCAGACCATCGCACCAAGGGTTTGGCTTATGTGTGTCGTAAAGACATGGATCTAATTTGTGAATTTTGTGGTTTATAGCGTTCGCGCTTAAACCGCTCCCCATAAAATTAAAGAAAAAAATTTAGTGAATTTTGAAAATAAATTATTATTATTTTTAAAATTAAAAAAGAATGGCGAGAGGAATAATAGAAAATTTATAAACAATAACAACAACAACAAGAACAAAAACAACTACACCTCAAATAATCGTAAAACTAGAACCAATGTTATTAACAGTTCCTAATATAAAATTTTAAACCCCCTGATTATTTATTTTTAAAAATAAAACTATTGATTTTTATAGTTATATTCTCTACTAAAAATATAAAAAAGAATAACATATTGTGTAAATGTAAAAAAACTTTTATTTAATAAATACTTTATAAATGCGTAAAAAATATAGAAAAATCATAATTTAAAATAATATAAATTATTAATTGATAATTTGAAATTTAATTTGATAACAATGGCATTGGTTTAGGATAAGTAAGTGTAAATACAAATTCTATTTTGTCATCCTGTGTTATAAATCCGTATTCTTTATCCAATGGGCAACATGTTATAAATTCTCCAAATCCCCATCCATTCTTACTTGATATATCTAAATGTCATAAATAAGTAATAATTAATTAAAATATTAATAATTTTTTTATAATTTCTTTTTAAATTATTATTGTTACTTACCGTAAAAGAAAGAACATGAGTGGTTCTTTTTATTATCTTTATTTAATAAAGTTATTGTGAGTTTAATGTTTTTTTGTTCACTTGCACAATGAAGATAAATATTTGGGTCCCACAATCCTTTTTTAAATAATCTGATTTTAAAAAAATCTGGATCATATCCAAATTCAGGAGACATCAAATAATCACCAACTTTAATTTTGGAATAGTTTGAAATAATCCAATTATTTTTATATTTTCTACCTTTATTTAATACATCAATCCTATATGAAAGTTGATTATTTTTAATGTTTAAATTTTTTAATTCTCTATTCAAACCTTCTTCAGCTTTAATTAATTCTTTAATACTATTTGAAAATTTAATATTTTTAATGTTTAAAATTTCTTTATCTTTAGTTAGTTCATCAATACTATTTGAAAGTTGATTATTTTTAATTTTTAAATATTCTATTGTTGTTATCAAATGTTCTATTGCTGTACTGAAATGTTTTGAGTGGTTTGTTTGATCTAAATGATTTTCTAAATTTTTTCTTTTTATTTTATCATTGCATCCAAATTGTGAAAACTTACATGGGATAATTAACTCTTCACATTCTTTATCTATATGTTTACTCATTACTTCTCTTTTTATTTTTTGGTTACATTCTTTACATTCTATTAACATCGAGGGACATTCGAGATAATGTTGCTCGATTGTTTTTAATAAGTAAAAATCATAACAATATTTACAAATTAATGGTTGGTATTCACATTTGGAAATATGAGTTTCATTTTCATTGAACCTGATATTATCATTGCATCCTTTTTCATGATATTTACATTTTACAAATCTATAACTACACTTTTCAATATGACTATCTAATTCTTCTAATTTAACAATTTCATTACATCCATTACTATCTTTTATTAATTTTTCACTTTCATCTACTCTAGTAATATTTTTGAATGAATATGGACAACTTGCACAAATTTTTAATAATAACCTTTCAATTTGTCTAACTCTTGATAGTTCATTGAATGAATTTACTTTAGTTTTACATTGCATACATTCTTTTTTATTTTTAAGTGATTTTATCCAACAATCTTTACATGAACAATGACCTGATATTAAAAAATATTAAAAACAATAAAAAAATTAATAGTTGAAAATTTATATTTTAAATTTAAAAAAATTATTACCAGTTCTTACCTTCTTTACATTGATAAACTTCTTT